CGATTCAATTTATATTACATTGAAGAAAGGGGAAATTTGTACCAAAAATTATAACTGAGTGATGGAATAAATAACACGAGATCCATGGATGAAACGGATACCATTGAAAAACTTGAGCGTTGTGCTCATGATTATTGAGGAAATTAGCTTGTCTGAGTGATAGAATATTGGTTGATTTTCACTGTTAAAAACTGGTTAAAATTAAATAGGTGCAGAATCCTTTTCATCGGAAACATTCTATCTACTCATTCTATACGGACAACACAAAATTAGCTTGGTGTACTGGTGAAGACCATCAGTTTTTCCGAATCCTTGACGATAGCAGGTTTATAAAAGATCGTCATGCCCAGGAACTAAATTTCGTCCAACTTTTATAAATTTGTGAAATTTTCCGTTAACCAGACCGCTCCGGATCTCGTTTAGTTCATAACTGCTTTATATGAGCAACAGATCAATCGCCTAGTAAATTTAAATAATGGTTGAAGACATTTATAGTTACATGAATCAACCTTTAGATAAAACTTTCTTTGCAGGAGACAAAACTACATTAATAACGATAAAAATAATATTACCAATAATAATAATAATAATAAGATATAAGATAATAACTGTTCATGGAACGTAATCAAACCTTTTTCGTGGTAAATTTAAAACGGAAAATAAGTTCTTCCGTGTTGACAAGAAATCGTGTTGGTCATCTTTTACTCTACCTTGACGGATCGCGACAAGATTCAAACCTAGGTTCAACTATTTGGTAACCATTCACCATCTTTATATAAACATTTTAATTTTCGGCAACTGGCAGCACTTGATTTTCAGTAGATATCATCAGAGCGGAGAAATTTATGTTATTTCTCGATGAACATATTCGCTGGACATTTATCACGTTTGAGCCATTCGTCAAAATCAGCCAACGGCAATCTTTGTTAAGGTTACGAATGCAAATAGTATAACCCTCAAAAGTTCCAAAATCCTCCAAGTTTCCCACAGGTAGTAACCCATAGAGCCCCAGTATCCGCAGTATAGTTTTGCTGAAAAACCAACTCCCAAAGTTGATTTGGGCTAGAACAGAGTCTAATGACTTATTTTAGTTACAGCATCTCATTGAAGAGTCGCACAGAAAACAGTACAGTTGAATTATTGCTCAGTAATTTCAAGAGCATGTTACTGATAGAACTTATAATCTAAACGATTAAAATTCGATCTTCAGTTGGCCGATAACTCAGTCGCACTCGTCTACACTCTCGGATTCCGTTATTTCCTCCAATACAGCTATCTCAAATCTAAATCATACCCTAACTTACTACCACCAAATTAAAATCGAAAAGAAAATAAACTTTGTTTAAACCAAACTTTTCTTTTCCATCTGATTTATAATACGCACCCGTTTAGCGTATTGTTATTTCTGTTCGGTAACTGGTTGACAAAATAATGATGTATAGATCCTCTACCTCGTCACGGAAACTCACAACAATATGCAATTTGTTCCTTTATGCCAAACCTAGGAAGAACAACGTTATTTTGCTGCCTCTAAGAGCCTCAATTTGACCCAAAGTGAGTCTTGGGTTGCGACTGATCCCTCTTATGAGGTGAATTCGTCATGTTCACAGCAAATGAAGCATGAACTGACCAGCTAGGAAGCATTGGACAGCTATTTCTACCTGGTGGGGTCTCATCAGCAGTGCGAATCCATCGATAAAACGCTTGTATTCTTCCTGTGAGGTCCCGGGTTCGATCCCCAGTTGAGTCGATGGATTCACACTGCTGGTAAAACCAAACCAGGTCAAAACAGCTGTCCAGTGCTTCCTATCTTTTTGGTTCACGCTTGATTTTCTAAACACACGATGAATTCACCTTTGAAATTAAACGAAATCCTCCATTATTCATTTAATCCCTCTTCCCTTGCACCTCGAAAACATTTTCCTATAATAGCATAAATATCGAATAGTCCCTGCCGAGAAAGTTTTATTCACTGCCTTCTCGTGACGAATGTCGTTGCATCAATGAGAGAACTAAAACCAACATGCGGGGTAAAAATAGGGTCAATGAAACCCTGGCGGTTCACCTAAGCAGGCTGGCTAAAACGTTTGGTTTCAACCCGAACAAGAAAAGACATACAGACCGAACATATACACCTTTAGGCTAGTAGCAATGGTCAATGAACTTTGAGATACAAATTGGACACATTGAATGTTTGACTTCTTGCAAAGAGTTAATGACCCAATGAGCAGGACATGAGGCCGCAATTTATTGTATTTCCGAAACACCAACATGCTGCCTTGGAGGTAAGGCTTTGGTTAATCGATGGATACAATGGTGAATCCCCTAGGAACATTTACCTGCTTTGGGTTGAGTGATCTGGCAGTATTCCGCCCAGTTGCAAATTTTGGATCTTTGTGTGTTAGAAGAATAATCTTAGTTTACACTAAGAATTGTGTGAACTGCAATAATAACAATCAGTGGCAGTAGTATTGTCATTACCATTATATCAACGTTTCTGGCTACTATCTATTTTTTTTCATCCACTATACTGAAGTAACTTGTGTATTCTTTTGACTTTTTCATTTTTAATTGCTTTTTTGAATACGTTACACAATTTGCAGGAAGAGGAAAGCGGCTAACCAAAGGTATACCATATAGCACACAATAGGGGAATTCTGGCTGTAGTGATGGGATTCGAACACATCCTCCAAGGGGACTATTTGGTGAAATTACCACCGGTCAGTCAGTTTATTGTCAATGCATTTTTTATTCGATACATCGCGAAATGTTGCTGGTTACATCGTCTGAAAAAGCTCTTTAGTTTATTTATATATTCACTGCCTTCCAACGCAGGTTTCACATTTGTTATGGGCTACGGAACTATCAAAAGGCAGTTTCTGATTCCATCTAATTTCATTGATGAAACACTATTTCCGACTCATTTTGTTTTATATTTTGTTTGTGATTCTACGTTTTCAAACAGTTATCTCATTGAACCATCACTACATGTCCCTGCACGGTATTCTAAGCTCATTGGTATAAATCTGATACTTTTCGTGAAGAGAGTAGTTTGAATCGGAGAAACGCTAATAGTAATTTTGATAACGGCATTGTTGAATGATTACACGAAAGATCAACTTTTTTGCTCTTTCGTATTCCGCTCTGAATGATTTGTTTCGTAAACTCCTTATCTTTGTTTGATAGAAAACGTTTTTGTTTTGAGGTAGGCAGTTTAAAACAACATTTGTCTGGACGATTTGTAACGTAACTAAAACTGGCCTTCAAAACCTGTCGCACAATCCAATAGCACATGGCAAGCAATACGTGAAACTCGGTAACATTTTCTATTAGCTGGTTTATAGCAGATAAACTAATATCAGAGGCCGAAAGATTGATTAGCACACGAACCAGTTATGCCAGCAATATTAGGAGACAGTAGCAAGTTAGAATGCCAGAAGTGACCACCAACAAACTGTTTTTTATCAGGCCTTTGTCTGAAAGAAGTTAAATGCACACTTTTCCTTCTATCTGCTTAGAATGTTATCGGCTATTAATTATTATCCTTCTAGAGGTTCACTACAATTCACATCACTAAAAATAAGGATCGTTACTGAAATGCAATTTAATTATCGTATTTGTTACAGGATTCTGTTATTAATTAACTAACTCTTATTATAAAGAATAAACATATTGCTTAAACTAACGCATCTGGTGACAAACCGATGAGAAACAAACAATCTTTAGAATGTAAAAGCTGGTGGTTCGAACTGTGATATTTACGCTGCCCCTTCAAAAACCTCACAATGCCATATTGTAAAATATCTAATGAGCCTGTTGCAAACAAAATGCATGCAAATTTATGAGATTTTCCTATAAGCCTAAATACTTCAGCTTATGACTATTTTTCACACGACCAGCTAAGGAATATCAGTAAAAGCCTTGTCTTTAACCTCATTCAATTGATTACACACCATTGCCACCTCCGAATTTTATTGACTTTACTCAGCACGTGTTTGCACTTGTGCAGTAGCACGATATAACTGGTCCTAGCGCTTTTGAGTAATGCCATTTAACTTAAATAAAATTATGAGTTCAATATTGGTGTTTCACGAAACCTAATAAAAATTGGTGAACATCTGTGAAATCAGTACTAAATTATGAAACGAAACCACAGCCATCCCCACTGCATGGAAAGCATGCTGAAGAAAACTTAAATGGGAAACTGCATTCCGGATATATAGAAAAATGCAAAGTAGAAGAATAATGTGCCTTCCTCTGGTATTAGAAAATGAACGGGTATGGTCTACACATCAGAAAATCCAACTGTGCATGCAGAGCATCTGCAAATATTCTAACAGGATACAAAATAACAACGAAAATTCTAAATCTATTAGGTTTCTACCCTGTACTCCAGACCATCTGCTGAACCACCTAACTGGTTCTAATAGCCCCAATCTGGAAGAAGACGTTTTTTTCTATCTACCTTATCTCTTTTTACATTACTGTATACCTTCTATTCACATGAAAATTGCTAAACCTAGAAACTGCAAAGGTGCACCTTCTGAATTCTGGAATGATAACATAGAAGTAAGCGGACGAACCAGGTAGAGCAGAAAAATGTCTCTCAAAATCCGATAGCTCGTTTAAAGGTATGGTTGATTGATGAAACACTCGTAGATGAAGTCATTAAAATGAGTAAGACATACTTTTGTCCACAAAAATAAGTTTTATGAAAGAATTAATAAGTTTGTTTTGCCCCAATGTGTTAGTGGTCATTATGCTGCTAACAGACAAATGAATCGGTGGCCAGTTGAATCTGTCCGGAAATTTTAAAAAGATGAATATTGAGCTTTCGTAATTTTTGTAACAGTTTTGAACTTAAAATAATAAGATAGCTTGCTTTGTGAAAAACAAAAGTCATCTTTTACAAATAAGTGAAATTCAGTAACCTTTGCAATCCCGTTGGGTGTAAATAAATGAAATACATCTATTTGGATTCATAAAAGTTTAAGGTAAACTCACTTAAACAGAAGTTCCAAGCACTCTAAAATTCCCTTGGTGAACGTGCACACCTCTGCTTGCTGCAAGCCTCGGAATTCATTCATATGCAGCAGCTCGTATAAATTTGAGCTTAGCAATTCGAACACCATGCATACATGCTCCCTGAACTTGAAATTATCCAACAATCTGACAATGTTGTGTCTATTTTCTGTATCTTGTTCGTTGAGCTTCTGAAGGATTCGGATTTCCTCTTTTGCTTGACGTGCAAATCTATCTTCACTGCGAATAATCTTCAGTGCAACATCCTCGCCTGTTTTATGATCACGGGCCTGAACAACTTGACCGAAACTTCCTTTTCCAAGCAACTTGATAACCTCGTATCTGTATGCAATGTGGTCGTTGAGTACTACAATATATCCGGATTGTGAGTCATCGTAACCGGCGACCACGGGTCCGCTTTTTGCCATATTGTTTACGCCTTGAAATGAATATTCCTTTGCTCCACTGATCAATAAGTTTTTACTCGGTTGTCGCTTTTTGGCGTGTTTTCCAACGAAATAAATTTCAGGATAAAGTAAAATTTCCTCCTTTTCGTAAGCTGTCAAATATTTTCCGTATTTCTGCTTTGCTGCAGCTGGGGTTAGCGGGTCACCCTCGGCAAAGTAGCCATCATCTTCAAGTTCATCTTCCCCATTAGCGTCATTAGAAATTTCTTTGACATAACTGTTGTTCTTCTCATACGACAGTTTATCAGCATTGTTGAGGTTGTTCAGTGACGCTGATGGAAAAGATTTTATCCGATAGCCATTATGTTCTTTCGCTTCCAGGCCACTGCGATAAGGTATGGGGTAAATGTTCTCGTGTCCGTTTCGTCTATCATTGGATAGATGTTTGTTCTGCTTTCCGTTTGAGGTGTCACTTAAATATGATGATAAATAGGAGTTTCTCTGTTGAAGGTGGGGAGCAGCGTAAAGGCGCGGTTCGGATATATAGTTTGAGTTGTTTGAAGTATCGTAAATCGCATGATTATTCAAGGCAGTATATGGTAAGGAGGTCTTGGGGGTTCTGTGAAACTTTTCATAATCTGAGATGTTATCTCTCGAAGTATTCCAAGTACTTGGAGGTATTCGGTAATTTGATGGCGCATAACGTTTTGTATCTATAAAACGATTTAAATCTGCGCCATACATTCTGTCTGAATTAACCCGATCGGTGTTAATGGATCCACGGTGAAGAAAATCGTTATTAAATATGGAACTGGATTCGTGCTGAGATAGGCGAGCAGAGGAAATCTTGTGAGGAGCATACACGTTTTGTAAAGAAGGTGCGTCCTTGTAGTTCGCAGCAGGGGCCTTCCTGCTGGTGGAAGTAGATACGTTGATCGTGGGGGCCCCAAGATTTGAGTCATAAGGTGCATATGACCCCAATCCATCATAACCCGAGTAGAATAAATGAGAACCAGAGTAACGGGCTGTGTTTTGAGAGGATCCACCGTTTCTATATCTGGTATTTCCAACCGGTCTCTCTGTCCTCATGCCATTGGAACGGTAACGTGTTGGTAATTCCTGTCTGCGATTTATCTCAGCACCATAACGATGGAGAAAATCAGAGCTCTCCGTTGCATAAAGAGCCATAATTGAAAGACACCACGCTCGTCAATTGACAATATACATTACGCGAATGGGAAATTGAAATTGAAAAATCTCTCGCTTCAAGGTCACAACAACCTTCTTCTTCAGTTCAATTCAGTTCAGGTCCTGAAGTCTTGAAGTAGCACTCGGGTTCGAGGCTTGCGCCTAATATTCCTGGTTCCGGATTTGTCTTCTTTTCGGTAGTTTGTTGCACGAGCTGAAAGGGATGTTGACGGGAATGGGAGCTGGCTCCGATATGGTACCGATGGGTTAAGGGTGCATGCATGGGGAGAAAAAATCTAGAGGAGAGCGACGATGTGATAGGCTTGGTAACAGGGATAAGCGGGATAATGTGGGGATTTCCTGTAGCAGATGGAGGTCAAATAGATCAGGGGATGGTAAGCCCTACGTGTGAGTCTAACAGGGTTTTGAAGAACTTTTTGGAGGAGTTCACAATCTCTAGTGGTAGTTGGTTCCATTCTGAGATGACCCTGTACGTGATGAAGTTGGAGCGGATGAAGGTTCTGAGCCGGTGTTTGAAGAGTTTTCTTGGGTGCCCCCTTAAGTGTTCCGGGATGACGTGAAGAGATCATATAGAAGGAAAAGATCCCCTCTGATACGTCGTATATCTAGAGGGTATAGATTTAGCTGTTGTAGTCGGATAGGATAAGGGATTTCTGACAAGCCATTTACTAGTTTCGTGGCCCTTCGCTGCACACGCTCTAGTGAGTCGCGATCACGAATGAGGCCAGAATGTGCAACTTGGCTGCCATATTTTAACAGTGGGCGTATGTATGTTCCATAGAAGAAAGGGAAGTCCTCGTTGGTTATACGCGGGAAAGATCGTTTGATAAGGTTAAGAATACGAAAAGCGGTTTTACTGGCCTTTTGGTTATGGAAAAAAGGAGAGAATGCTGTTCAGCCAGAATCCAAGGATTTTGTGCTGATCCACCAGTCGGATACGGGTCGAACCGTTTACCCAGAAAGGTTGACCAGGAGTGTTACCAAAGGTCATGCTTGCACATTTTTCGTCATTGATTGGGAAGCTCCAGTCGACTGACCAATTTTTTGTTTGGTCAATCGCCGACTGCACTTGGGATGCGTCTGTGCCCCAGATGGTGACATCATCCGCGTACATGGCAATCTCTACAGAGAGACGTTTAGGGAGATCAATAATATAGATCAGAAATAGGATGGGACCTAGTACGGAGCCCTGTGGGACTCTTATTGAGACTGGGAAGGGTGAAGAAACGGATGTGCCTTTTCGAACCGCGAAGGGGCGATTCGAAAGAAAACTAGTAAGTAGGGAGTGCAATCGGCCAGTGATGTCATAACTCTCTAGTTTGTAGAGCAGAGGGATGTGTGGCACTCTGTCGAAGGCTTTGGCAAAGTTTATGAAGATCGGGTGCGAAATATGACCTTCGTCATAGGCACGGGTTCAGCTATCCATTAAGATCAGCATATTGGAGATGTATGACCTGTTTGGTAGGAAGCCGTGTTGGGAAGCGCGTACCGAGCCGTTCTCAGTTGGATGTCCTAGAATACGCCGTTTAAGGAGGTGCTCAAAGATCTTACTGGGAATGCTGGTTGGGCTGATAGGCCTATGGCTAGTAGGAAAATGTCTATCGCCTTTCTTATAAATAGGGATAACAGTTGTCCTCTTCCACTGTTGCGTAAGGGTTCCTGTGTCCAAGCGCCTTTGAAAGAGATGGACATATGTGGCAGCCAGCACGTCCGCGGATTCTTTCAGTATACGGAGGTGAATTTCATCCGGACCCATTGAAATGAAG